TAAGGGGAAAAGCCAGAGTAGCAATACTTATATCAAAGTAAACTTTAAAACAAAGATGATAACAAGAAACAGAGAAGGACAACATAAGCATAATAGGAATAATCCAACAAGAAGGTAAATATTGTAAATATTTATGCATCCAACATGGGAATACCCAAACACATGAAGTAATCAGTAGTAAAGCAATAATAGTAGAGCACTTTAACATGCTTCTTACATCAATGGATAGACTATCAAACAAAAAATCAAAAAGGAAACAGTGCCTTTGTATGACACATTGGACCAGATTGATCTAACAGATATGTTTAGAACATTTTATCCTAAAGCAGCAGAATACATATTTTCAAGTACATACAGAACATTCTCCGGAATGGGTCACATGTTAGGCCAGAAAGCATGTCTCAACAAAATCAAAAAGATTGAAGTCTTATCATATATCTTTTCTGATTATAAGACAAACTAGAAATCAACCACAAGAAAAATCTAGAAAGAGCACAAATACATGAAGGCTAAATAACATGCCACTAACCAATGAATGGGTCGCCCATGAAATCAAAGAGGAATTTAAAAAACACATAAAGACAAATGAAAATGAAAATACAATGGCCCCAAGTCTTTTGGATACAGCAAAAGCTATTCTGAGAGGGAAGTTTATAGCAATACAGGTCTACGTCAAGAAGCTAGAAAAATCTCAAATGAGCTAAATTTATACCAAAGGAGCTAGAAAAAGAAGAATAAAGATGCATTATTATTATTATCTCTTCTCAAACTATTCCAAAAAATAGAAGAGAAAGGAAAACTTCCAAATCCATTCCAAATTCATTCTGTGACACCAGCATTATCCTGATACCAAAACCAGATAAAGACAATGCAATAAAAGAGAACTACAGGCCAATATCTCTGAAGAACATAGATGTAGAATTGCTCAACAAAATATTAACAAACTGAATCCAACAATATATTAAAAAAAAAGATCATTCAACACAACCAAGTGGGATTTATTCCTGGGTTGCCAGGGTGGTTCAATATTTGCAAATCAGTCCACATGATACATCACATCAGTTAAGAGAAAGGCTGAAAATGATATGAACATTTCAGTAGATGTAGAAAAACCTTTCGGCAAATATATCCATTCATGATAAGAACCCTCAACAAAGTAGGTGCAGAGGGAACATACCTCAACATAATAAAGGCCATATATAAAACCCCACAGCTAACATCATACTTAATGGTGAAAAACTGGGAGCTTTTCTCATAAGGTCAGGAGCAAGACAAGGATGTCCACTCTCATCACTTCTATTCAACATAGTACTGGAAGTCCTAGCCATAGCAGTCAGACAACAAAAAGAAATAAAAGGTATCCAAATTGGTAAGGAAGAAGTGAAACTTAACACTATTTGCAAATGACATGATGCTCTATATAGAAAACCCTAAAGATTCCACCAAAAAATCTACTAGAACTGATAAATGAATTCAATAAAGTTATAGGATACAAAGTTGGTATAAAGGAATCCGTCAAATTATTTTTTTTTAGATTTTATTTATTTATTCATGAGAGACACACACACACACACAGAGAGAGAGAGAGAGAGAGAGAGAGAGAGGGCAGAGATACAGGCAGAGGGAGAAGCAGGCTACATGCAGGAAGCTCGACGTGGGACTCAATCCCCGGTCCCCAGGATCAGGCCCTGGGCTGAAGGCAGCGCTACACCGCTGAGCTACCCGGGCTTCCCGGAATCTGTCAAATTCTTATACACTAATAATGAAATAACAGAGAAATTAAGAAAACAGTCCCATTTACAGTTGCACCCAAAATGATAAAATACCCAGGAATAAACTTAACCGAGGAAGTCAAAGACCTATACTCTGAAAACATTGATGAAAGAAGTTGAAGATGACACAAAGAAATGGAAAGACGTTCCATACTCCTGGATTGAGAGAACAAATATTTTTTTAAATGGCCACACAACCCAAAGCAATCTACAGATTTAATGCAATACTTAGCAAAGTACCAACAGAATTTTTTTCACAAAACTACTACAAACAGTCCTATAATTTGTATGGGACCAGAGAAGACCTTGAATAGCCAAAAACAATCTTGAAGAACAGCAAAACAGAGGAGGTACCACAGTCCAGATTTCAAGATCTACTTCAAAGCTGCTAGTAATGATACAGGCAGAAAAACAGTCCCATGTATCAGTGGAACGGAATAGAAAGCCCAGAAATAATTCATCATTATATGGTCAATCTATGACAGGAAAGAATACTCATTGGGACAAAGACTATCTATTCAATAAATGGTGTTGGGAAAACTGGAGCACTTTCTTACACCATACACAAGTATAAACTGAAAATGGATTAAAGACCTAAATGTGTGGCCTGTAAAAATCCTAGAAGGGAGCACAGGCAGTAATTTCTCTAACATTGGCTATAGCAGTATTTTTCTAGACATATCTTCTAAGGCAATGAAAACAAAAGTAAAAATAAACTATTGGGACTACATCAAAATGGAAAGCTTCTGCACAGCAAAGGGAATAACCAATGAGACAAAATGACAACCTATGAATGGGAGGAGATATTGGCAACTGATATATTCAATAAAAAGGGCTAATATCCAAAATATATAAAGAATATATGACGGGATGAGCACTGGGTGTTATTCTGTATGTTGGTAAATCGAACACCAATAAAAATTAATTTATTAAAAACAAAAGAATATAAAGATCATATACAACAATATTAAAAGAATAATCCAATTGAAAATGTGCAGAAGATAAGAACAAATACTCCTCCAAAGAAGGCGTATAGGTTTCCAACAGACATGTGAAAAAATGCTGAACCTCACTATCAGAGAAATGCAACTCAAAACTGTAGTGAGTTATCACCTCACTCCTGGCCTAATAGCCAAAATCAAAAACACAGGAAACAAGTGTTGGTGAGGATGTGGAGAAAAAGGAACCCTCATGCACTGTGGGTGGAAATGCAAACTGGTAGAGTCACTGTGGAAAACAGTATGGAAGTTCCTCAAAAAATTAAAAATAGGATTACCATATGATGCAGCAATTCAGCTCCTGGGCATTTCCCCAAGGAATATGAAAACTAATTTGAGAAGATATATGCACCCATGTGATTTTTTGCAGCGTTACTTAAAATAGCCCAAATATGGAAGAAACCCAAGTGTCCATTGATAGATGAGTAGATAAAGAAAGTGTGGTATGTGTATGTATATACATATATAGGTATGTGGGATATTACTCGGCCATAAAGAAGAATGAAATCTTGCCATTTGCAGCAACAAGGACGGATCTGGAAGGTATTGTGCTAAGTAAAGTCAGTCAGTTAGAGAAAGACAAGCACCATATGATTTTAGCCCTGTGGAATTTAAGAAATAAAACAACAGGATCCCTGGGTGGCTCAGCGGTTTGGTGCCTGCCTTCAGCCCAGAGCGTGATCCTGGAGTCCTGGGGTCGAATCCCACATTGGGCTCCCTGCCTGGAGCCTGCTTCTCCCTCTGCCTGTGTCTCTGCCTCTCTCTACGTCTCTCATGAATAAATAAATAAATAAAATATTAAAAAAAATAAAATAAAACAACAAAAAAGAAACAAACCAATTACAGACTCTTAACTCTAGAGAACAAAAGGGATGGTTGCCATAGGGGAAGTGAGTTGTGGGATGGATGAAGGAGACTTAAGAGCACACTTGATGATGAGCACTGAGTACTGTATAGACTTGTTGATCACTATATTGTACACCTGAAACTAATACAGCACTGCGCATTGATTATACTAGAGTTTAAAAAAATTTTTTAAAGTCGTTTACCTCTACAACCGCCAATAAAGTAGAATACAAGTATCTTTTTAATATACAGTATCTCAATAATTTTGCCTCTCATTGCACCCTTTCCTGTGAAGCAATTAGAGGTCCTTTTCCACCAAAATGAAGAGAAAATGGAAGTTCAAATTTAAAGGGGAGTGTTGAGGGATCGGCATTAGAGAGAGGCTAAAGAAAGTTTTCCTTGCTGTTAATATTTTTGGGGAGTAAATTAGCATTCGATTTGCCTGTAGGTAACAGGAAAAGAAAGAGTGGCTTAAACACACATAAGGACTTATTATGTCTTAAGAAGGAGCTTGATGGTGGCAGCCTAAGGTATGACAGCTCTCAGGTTTATCGTAGACCTCCTGTAGTTTTCACTTACTAAATATGTCCTCAAGTTTGCCTCATGGTCCAAGATGGTTGCTGGAATTCCAGCTATCAGGTGTGTATTCCAACGAGGAGAAGAGTAGAGAAAGACCAAAGGCTTGTTTCCCAGGTTGAACCCATCCTTTCAAACACTCTTCCTGTAAGTTCCTTATATATGTCATTGACCTGAGCTTTTCGTACTGGGAAGTTAATAGGTATGTCCTAAAACTGAAGAGTAAAGGGACAACAATTTAAGCATATTATATACAGATACAGGGATGACAGATTAACACTTGCTGGAAGCGTTCCCTCTGTGAAAGGGGCAGGATGTGGAGACGGGTGAGTAGGAGCTCCTGTGTGTTGCAATAAATTTCGTAGAATTATCTGACTTTTATTTATTTATTTATTTTTTAATTATCTGACTTTTAAAGTCATATGGATACCTGGCCTCGATTTAAAGAGCCTTGATTTAAAGAATTTCAGACTGACCGAGCCCCATAGGTGTTCTCACACTAAATCCATCAGCCCCCACTGATGGATTTTTTTCATTGATGATTTGGTCAAGAAGAGAAAGATGCTTTTCCTAAGTCGCACATACAGTTTTTACCGAGACTCGCAAAGAGTAAAGGCAGCTCCCAGTTTCTCCTTTTAGGTTCACGTTTATCAGAGCGCCCCGTCTGGGTCTTTAGAGCGAGCCACCAAGCAGTAATTCTCCTGGCTTTTCAGTTCACTGCACCAGCAGAGCTTTGGGACTGACGGTTGAAGGGCTGTGTCTGGAGGCCAGGAGTGTGGTCCCTGAAATGCTGTGTCTGTCGTTCAAGGCAAGGGCCCACCAAGCCCGAAGTCCTGCTGATCCAGTGGCCTGGAAAGCGATCAAATCGCCGCGTCCAGAGACACAACAGCTTCTCCCCCAAGAGCCCTCAGTTCAGTGCCTGTGCTCCAGGTAAGGAAGCTCTGTCGTTTCTCTGCCTCCAGACTGATCCGTTTGGGTTTGCAAGGTGCCTTATTGTTTTTCTTGGGCAAATAAGGCAGCAGTAGTGATGGAATGCTCTTCTTACACCTGGTAAGTTTGTCTGAAGCCACAGGGGCCGAGAGCCTCCGGTAGTCAGCATGGGGTGGTGGTCCCCCCCCTGCCCCACGGTTTCCATCAGAATCCCACAGCTGCACCCAGCCCTGCTCGGTGGGATGAGGGGTCACCTAATACACGAGGGACCGAGGACTGAGACCCGTAGAACTCATCTGTCTCAAGAAAGGAGCCCATTAGTTCGTACCCTCATTTGCTCCAGGGCCCCTAAAGTGGCCTAAACATATGAGATCCTCATTTCCTCCCATGATGGGATTAAAAGCAGCTGGCAGTTTCAAAGCATATAATATAACATTTCTTGGACTAACACCTTCATAATATTTTAGGTTTTTGTATTTTAATGGCATCATTTCTAATAATTACAATCCATTGGAAATGTAGAAATTCATGTGGCGAAACATCGCAGTGATTTCTATAAAGCATGAGTCTGCATATATGCATATGATGCCTGTGTACATGTACAGGCATGTATCTGCACACATCATGACATATCATTTTAAAACAAATCAACCTTTAAATATCTAATGTTCCAGAAAAGCAAAGTATTAAATATAGCCTTATTTACACAGATTGTGCTTGACAGGTTTCAAAGTGCTTTCTTGAACACTATCTTATCCTGATCCTTATAAGATAGAGGTTAGTATCTTTTTTACGCCAGAAGTGAAGCAGTTTGTCCCAAGGTCATACGGTTTGTTAGTCCATTTTTACTGCAAAACAACCTCAGAAGCTCAACAATTACAGTTGCAAAGATTTGTCTTTTTTGCTCACGGGTCTGTGGTTGATGGTGACCCAGGTGATCTCAGCTGGGTGGCCCTTTCCAGCCTGTAGCGTGGGTTCGGCCCTGCTTCGCACATAGCCTCCTGGGATCGGCGACTCCCTGGAGCGATTTCTTCTCTTGGCGGGTGTCAGAAGCACAAACGGGCCAGATCACACAACTCACTGAAAACCACCGGGTGCATCTTAGCTGCTGACTCTTCGTTGGCCAAATGAGTCACATGCCAAACCCAGTAACAGTGGGAAGGGAAATGGACTCGGCCCGTTGTGGTAGGGGTATGCAAAGTTGAGGGGCAACGGCTGTATACATACAGTTCTATAACAGGAAGAAAGTGAAAAATTGGGAGCAGTGACACAGTCCACCGTGTGTTGATTAGGAAATGACAATACCAGGCTCCTGAGTCAAAATATAGATTTTTCTTTTACACTTTAACCATTTAGAAAACAGAGTGAAACCCAAAATATCCTTCTAAGGAATTTTGAAGTGACAGTCACCTTAAGTCCTTTTAAGAACAACGCAGAATGGAAATGTGTTAACTAATTTGTAAATTAAAAAACAGATATAAATTGTGTTTATACAGTGACAATGATTTCTATTATAAAGCACCCATATTCTGATTTTTTTTTTTGGTATCTACTTCTGTGTGCTCCTGCTTATTTTTGCATCATAATTTATGTGATGGGCTTTGAGAGGAGTTTTTACCCAAGAATGCAGAGAGAAGTGAATTCTAATGTAAAGGGCTACTGCTTTATAATTTGGTCTTAACTTCTTACCATTCAAAGCTAAAACAAGGCTTTTTAGTTTGAATTCAATCACAACCTCCCATCCAGAAATGATCAATAATATTGTTTCAGCAAATACCTATGAAATCATTTTGAGTGAGCTGCCATAAGGAGGATACACAAAGATGCCAGGATGTTTGTGCAGGGGCTCAGACCACAGATACTCCCTTTGCACCTTTTTTGAAAAGATTTTATCTATCTATCTATCATCTATCTATCTATCTATTATCTATCTATCTATCTATCTATCTATCTATCTATCTATCTATCTATCTATCATCTATCTATCTATCTAATCTATCTCAGAGCCAGAGAGCCAGAGAGCACAATCAGGGAACAGCAGAGGGAAAGGAGAAGCAGACTCCCCACTGAGCAGTGGGCCCAACATGGGGCTCGACCCCGGAACCCTGGGATCATGACCTCAGCTAAAGACAGATGCCTAACGGACTGAGCCACCCAGTCACCCCACTGAGCCACCCAGGCAGTTCCCCGTTGCACCTTTGAATAATCTCCAGGTCCTGAGTTCTAGCCCCATGTTGGGTATAGAGCTTACTGGAAAATCAGTAATAAAATAAAAGGTACTTAAACATTTTTTAGACTAAAAAATAATTATAGCAGCAATAATAGGAACAGGATTTACATAATGCTGGATCTGGTGCTGGATATAGGTGTGTGCTTATGTTCACACAGACAGACGTAGACCTCATATGTATGCACGTATATATGTGTGTGTATTTATATATGTTGTAATTTAATCCTCACAATGACCATGTGGCCAGTGATGATATTATTGCCATTTTAAAAATAAGAAAGCCGAGGCCAGAGGAGTCAAGTAATCTGACCTCCATCAGCAGGTTTCAGATTCTGCACTCTTCCCTGTGGTGCCATGGCCATAGTTAGTGTCCATGCTTATTCAGCTTGGTCCCTAGGAAAGGAGCCACCAGCTTCCTTACTGTGGTCGGGCCTGTTACTTTCCTGGCTCCTGCCACTGTCCCAGAAGCAGATTTAGAATTTCTGATTGATGCTTTCCTTTTTTCAAAAGAAAAATCAGCCATCTCATGGGGTGGTGAAAACGGCTCAGCAGGATCTGTTCTTTGACCATCAAAGGCCATTACAGGCAACAACATAAAAAGCACAGACTTGTGCAAATGAACCCGCTGGGACACATGGTCTATGGAAGTCAATAACTTAGAAAGCACTCACGTGAATCTATTTCTTAAAAGGGTGGTGACTAGTCAATGACACTGTGTGCTTCCTTCGGGGTAAAAGGAAAGTTCTGAGATGCCCCAGCATTCCTGCTCTGTTTAATACACTGCCCTCATGATTTTCCCCTCAAGCCTTATTAGAAGAAGATAACCAGTGGATGACCCAAATCAATAGACTCCAGAAATTAATTGATCGACTGGAAAAGAAGGTAGGTGCTTCCTTTTCTTTCTTCTCCCTCTCACTTTTCAGTACATTCTGACCCATTTTCCTCACTGCATTAATATATCCGTGGCTGCCCCACAGATAGAATAACAGCCAGGAGCTCCCTGAGGCTACAAGTGGCTGTGGCTGTTGGGTAGTTATCTAGGCATTTCTGTGAAAGCAGATACAGGCACTCACATTAATTCTCAGTCCCCCTACTCCTACCCCTAGTCATATTTGAAACAGGATGTAGAGGGGCACCTGGGTGGCTTAGTGAGTTAAATGTCTGCCTTTGGCTCAGGTCATGATCCCAGGGTCTTAGGATCAAGTCCCACATGGGCTCCCTGTTCAGTGGGGTCTGCTTCTCCCTCTGCCACTCCCCACTGCTCACGTGCGCACGCTCTCCCTCTCTTTTATAAATCAGTTGATCTTAAAAAAAAATAGGATGTAGCATTTCAAGTTAAATGAATGTACTGCATTGCCTGCCTCTTTGGTTATCAGTGCTACAGGGAGCAGTATGCTTGACTGATGCAGATGGCAGCTCTTAGGGACAGCCTGGATATCTTGGGAATTTTCTGGAATGATTCAGGGAAGTGGTTGTGTCATATACTAAAAAGATGAAATTACAGTCTCAACTCCTATAAGTTAGCATGTTAACTGATGATTTTTGGCATTGGAACTACCCCGTGAGCAAGCAAGTAGGGATGTGACGAGTTTTTCAAATCTATATTTTGTGTTTCCAGTTATTTTTATTGACAGAATCAATTAGTGCGTGCGGTCCTGACATTGTAGTGGTGTTCCCCTGAAACAGCTTTGACAGGAGAGGCAGGTTTTGCCAGTAAGTAAGAATATGTGTTTTCTGTGCGTGCCAGGTGCCAAGAAGAAGCGTTTATGTTTGAGACAGTTACTCACTTTGAAGAACCCAACAGTCTACTTGTAAAATTAAGCTTTATAAATAAAAATGGAGTTAACAGATTTTTCTTAAAGCATGTGATAGTACAGAACCAGGTTCATAGTTAAGGCTCAGTAAATTCTTGCTGACCAGCTGCAAAGATGGTAATTGCAATCTACAGATGCTTCCTGAGGGAACGATCACTGTGAGCCAGGTGCTTGGCAAGGATCTAGTGCGGCAGGAGGGGCTCCAGGTGGGCCCTAAAATGATGACGATTAGGAATTGTTGTTTACAAGCAACAGAAATCGCCTCTTTTTTCTTTTTTTAAAGATTTTATTTATTCATGAGAGACACAAAGTGAAGGCAGAGACACAGGCAGAGGGAGAAGCAGGCTCCATGCAGGGAGCCCGATGCGGGACTCGATCCTGGAACTTCAGGATCACACCCTGAGCGGAAGGCAGACGCTCAATCGCTGAGCCAGCCAGGTGTCCCCAGAAATCACCTCTTTAATCAATTTTTTTCTGCAAGGATACGGGAGTGCTCACAGAATCAACAGGCGCTGTAGAAACTGGGATTCAGGAAAAGTCAGGAGACAACCCTAGGGATTTAAGTGAGAAATACTGGGTGGTCCCTCGGGCTACTGCTCCTGGAATAAGGAGGTCCAGCCATCTCTAGTGTGTTGACCTTGTGCTCAAGATTTCTAGGGGTAGAATCTGGTTGGTCCCAGTCTGATGACTTGGATAAGGGAGGAAAAAGCATCTTGGTTGATGGTCCCAGAGCACTGTATTGAAAGGAGAAGAGAGAATTCACTGAAAAGAAAATGTATTGTCATTAAAATTGCAATAACTGCCAGTCTGCTAACCAACCAATGAACAAACAAATATTTGCTGTGGACAAGTAAAATTTTAGTAAAAAGAGAACAGCTAGAGAGGACAGTCAGGTAAGGGTGGTAGCATGAGTAAACCTTAAATAGGCCAGCCTGGTTGGATTCTTTCGTTTAGGTAAGTGGTAACAAGTAAGATTGCATGGATGGATAGGGCCCATATTATGGATGGCATTAAATAACAGAGAAAGGGATGTGGACTTGGTCTTGGAGAAAATAAGAGGCATTTATTATTTTTCAACAGGTAAGTGACATAACCAGAAACATTCTTTAGATAGAAAATTGGACAGCAAGAATTCAAACTGGATTCAAACAAGAAAACTCAGAGCCACCAAAGCCAGCTGAAGCGATGCCATTAAAGAGCGTGTTGTACGTCTGAGCCCCCTGGGATCAGGAATGGCAAGAGATGGGCCTGGCCAATGTGACTGAAAAGAAGATGGCAGATTTGAAAGCCTTGAAGTGAAATAGGCAAGGCCATTGAATGGGTATAAAGGGTAAAGCACAGGAGGATCTCAGATAAGAGTCTGAGGATTTGAGCCTGACCGCCTTAGTCGTGTCATTAGCAGAAAGGAAGAGAAAAGTGAGAGATCACGGGTAAGGTGAGGCGAGGTGAACACTTGAACCTGTTGATCACATGTGTTGATTTCAAGATCCAGTAGGCCCCTTGGGCAGAGATGTTCGGTTACATGTTGGTAAGTCAGGCCCGCAGTTTAAGATCTTAAGAGCCGTCTCCACAAAGATGAACGCTCCAAGCCCTGAAGTTGAGGAGGATCTCTGAAAAGGAGATTGTGTGCAAGGAACCAAGTCCAGGGGAAGAAACCTTGGAGAACTCCAGTCCCTCTGCCACCATGTCCTTACTTGCTACATTTATGTTGACCACTAACCAGGCAAATAACCTAAACTTAGAGCTTGCTACTATCCAACTTTCTTCCTTCCTGATTTTATTAATTGGTATGCGAGCTAAGATTAAACATGACCGTAAGAAAACTGGTGGCTAAGAAAATTAGCTTCCCAGTCGTGGAAGACGTGGGAATGCGTGACCTCTATTTGGAAAACAAACCCTGTTAAAACATAAAGACTCAATTGTTACGTAATTTCAGATTCATTTAAAGAACATAAATACCTCCTTTTAAAAATAGGTTCGAAGTTCTTGGCAAACCTGTCTTTATTTGGTGTCTTAACTTTATATAGCTATTTTTAAAGGAAAGCTTAAACTTAGGTCATGCCTATTTTTTTTTCTGCAACTTTATATCAAAGTATTATCACATCTCTTTCTTTCCTAGACTTTTTCTCCCTCCCTTCCTATGAAAGGGTTTCATTTTGAGGACACCGTCTGAGAGGTTTGCTGAAAGTATGATGTGCTGGTCTTCGGCATTGGGTCCCAGCTGTGTGGGGCTCAGCATGACCTGTCTTAATGAATGGAGAGGCAGTGCAAGATCCATGTTCTTCTACAACTTATTCTGTACTGTGAATTAGGCTTTTAGAGGAAAAACTACCCAATTGCCAAACAGTAGCTAAGTGCATGTCATTTCACAGCTGACTCTCTTGTCTCCTGCAGCTGTTGGCACCGGGTTTGATCTCCCCCATTAAAAGGAAGTGTACCTGCAGTAGAACACCTGTTATCTTTTCTCTGCACTTAGTACGATAAATCCTCCCTGCACTGTGTACCAAGCCCAGTACCATTCATGGGGTGGGGGGTGTAGGCGGGGATAATACTTGAAATTTCTACAAGTTCCTTCAGGCATTCATTCTTCCCATGAGAATTTCTGGAGATATATTGAGATTAGATTTTATGTTTTGCTTGAGCTCTGCAGAAAACTTTGTGTCGAATAACACAACAGCAGCAAAACCTCTTTGACTTGCATGACGCCTTAAGTGTATCATCAGATCACAGGACGTCCTCATTTGAAGGAGTAGAACTAAGGATGCTGCGTTCATACCACTTGTTTTACGTGTTGTTCCTAACTTAGAAAAGATGGAAGTGAAAAGCGTACCTGAGCTGGTGTCAGGGAAAGAGTGGTCAAGGAGATCACTGTCGTTGCAGTTTCTATCCGTAGGTTATTCTTTAAGATTCAGCTCATGTGCATATGCATTGCATCACTTTGCCTTCAGGGAAAAGCTGTGATTTCTTTCTTATTTATTTATTTACTTTTTTTTAAATTTATTTACTTATTTATTTATTTATTTTTATTTTATTGTTTTTTTAAAGCTGTGATTTCAGTGGGGCACTCACTCAGCCACTCATTTACTCAATAGTGTTTATAGAGCGTCTGCTTTATGTCAGGTATTGTTCTGGCAGTGGAAGTACAGCGGTGATCCAAACAGGTAAGGCCCTTGGTCCAATAAAGACAGGAAAATCAGTAAACAAACCAATGAAACAAGGTGACCCCCAATCGTGAAAAGTATTGTGAAGACAAAGTAAGGCAGGATGGTAGAGACGAGGCACTGAATACTTAAAGTGGGTGATCCAGGCAGGTTGCTCTAAGTTGGTTATGTTGGAGTTGAGGCGTGAGAGAGGAGACGGAGCCAGCTAGATGCATCCCTAAGGAATAGAGAATTCAAGGCAGAAGAAACAGTAAAAGGGAACCCTAGAAAAGTCCAAATAACCTGTCTACAGTTTTACAAGGGAACAGCAGCATTAGAGCTACGGAGCTCTGTCTTTAACAAGCTTATATTATTTCAGACAGTCTCAATTTCTACAATTTTCAATTTATTTCTTATCTACTTGAAGGGATTATTGCACATAATCCTCACTTACCATAAAGCTAGGATATATATTCTTAGAATGAAGTCCTCAGAGATTACATGCTTAGTTTCACCGGAGACATTAGCACCGCCCATTGATCACTGCAGAAGAGTCTAGGATCTTTTTAGTAGTCGTTGGCTTTTAGAAAAAAATCAGTAATGTTTTCATTTGCTTTTGAATTCATGTTTTAGTGATGTCACATCATCACTAGAGTATAAAGGTATTATTGCACTTCCACGAATGTCCGTCATGATCTCCAAGAAAAGTGGCGATCAGCACTGACAGCAAGAGGTCAGCCTCGTCATCCTTGGTCTTTCCTGGCCTATCCTTTCCCTGTTCTAATGAATCTGCTCCACTCTGTTCTCTTTTAATGTCATCAGTAAACTTAAAGTAATAACAAATTAAACACATCTGAAATGGCTTTTTACCATTGATAAATAGGTAAAAGAGGCTTTACTAGAACGGCTTCATTTTTAAAATCAGAATCGTTCTGTTTCCTTTAAGATAATGAGGTCCTTTTGGTACAATATTAGCCATAAAAGAGTTACCACTCAAGTATATGGTATTTCCTGTGTCTCACTCCTGGTGCCTTCCTTCCCTATTTCTTGAAGGATCTCAAACTTGAACCACGGGAAGAAGAAGTTATTGAAGGGAATACTAAATCTGTGAGTACTTCTTTTCTAGATCAAAATGTTAGAAATATGTACTTTGAAGATATGATTTAATTTATTCAAAATTAGTTACTATCTCCATGAAAATTTGAAAAAGTAGTATGGAGGTATATTTTATTTTGCATGGTAGTTTCAAAATCGTGATTTGTAGAAAACGAATGCCTACTTTACAAGGTTTTTATGTAAGTACTTAGCATGTATTGTGTGCAAAATGAGAATTTTATGCATATATAAATCACTGAGTTATTGAATAATTGAATGAATGTGATTGGCCAGAAGGGCAACATTCAAATTATATTATGAACAACACTGTATCACAAACAACAACCCTGCGAGCCTGAGCGCTGCACCTGAGCTGAAGCTTGATGCTATGCAGTATTGTATCTCAGCTTTTTTCCTAAGGCCAGGCATGCTGTAAGTGCTCAGAAAGTAGTTTTCAAGAAAAAAAAAATTGACATTTAGAGAGGAAGGAACATTTATGCTCATAAGGAAAAGGTGTCTATCCAAAGTGGTGACCATTTATAGAGATTGGAAGAGAACAGACAAAGTGATGCTAATAGGCATGAAGACACAACAAAAAAAAGGGTTCTGAGAGCAGCTTACTAATGGTGTTATGATTAGAATCCCATAGATGAGGACTCTTTCCCCCAAAGACAACCTATATTTCACTACATGTTCAGTGTTTCTGTTCCTCCAAAGACAGGGGCGCATGGTCTGTATTAATTCATCAGGCATCCAGATTTCTAAAGGGGTACATTTGGGTGGGAAGCAAAATGTTTTTTTGTGAAGGAGAGAAGGCTGTCGACTGCACATACTAAGAATGCTATTCCTAGCCATCCCGTAGGCACAGAACTGTGACCTTGCAATCTTGCATCTCTATCATCAATTAGATTTGCATGTGGAAAAAGCTCCACTCCAGTCAAGAAAACTGAATGTCTCATTTCTAATATTGAGAGAGAGACCATCATTGTCTCTTCTTACGTAAGTTCTTAACCTGTGACAATTCTCTCTCACTAGCTAAGTGGGAGAAAAATTGTCTAAGGATTGCTTATGGAAGGTAGCAGACTGTTCTATTCTCTGGTCCCTGACAGAAGAGAGACCAATGTCAATTGTAAAAGATTTATCAACCCACACAGCATTACTAACTCAATAGTACATAGAAGTATTAAGCAAAATAGGATTGGGCAAGATGGTTCAGCAGTAAATATTAGTTAAAAAGCAGGAAAGGATATTCCTTAACTATTTTTAATGACACGTAGAGGTAAAATAATTATGTTCTTTGGGAATACACATCTAGTAATGATTTGAACAAGTTTGTTTTCCTCAGAGATACCGATATGTGTCATGAAAAGTTGTATTTTAGGGCACCCGGGTGGCACAGTCAGTTAAGCATCTGCTTTCGGCTCTGGTCATGAGCCCAGCCAGGGTCCTGGGATAGAGCCCCGCATCCATCCGGCTGGCTCCCTCCTCAGCAGGTTGTCTGCTTCTCCCTCTACCCTTCCTCTCTGCTTGTCTTCTCTCACACTGGCTCTCTCTAAAAAAAAAAAAAAAAAAAAAAAAAAAGTTGTATTTTATCATTAATGGTGGTGATGCATCACCATCAATTCCTATAAAACCTTCTGTATGCAGAATGACCAAAACAGGTCTCCACCATCCACAGCCAGCACTCAGCATTGCATGCTCCTTTGTGTTCAGCGATTTATCTTGGTGTCCAAAACCAGTTTTAGACTTCATTGACTAGAGAGGTAATTTTCCTTTTCCATTAGCGAATACCTGAGAACCTTGAAAAATAAGTTCCACACAGGAAAGCAAAGAATACATTTTTACGATACACTTTATTTTTTAAAGCTGTTCTTTTCTGAGCCTTTGCTATGTACCAAGCATTGTGCCAAACACACACATCTATAATTCACTTCATCCTCATAAGAGCCAAACGAGTTGGTGCCGTCATTAAGCCCATTTTGCAGATGAGAATTAAGGTGTGGAAGGATTTAAATACCCTAGACCCCAGGAGTTCTCCTCGAGACCTGCACCCCATACCATAATAGTCTGACTTCACTGTTTGGTGCATTTCTGGACATTAAAGTGGAGTTGTTTTTGCCAGTGAGGGTGTGAGCTAACATGACTCCGTTTCATGAGATTTCCTACCATGAGAGCAGAACAGTAGTATCTGGTGGGCTTATTTAAACACACAGCAAAAGTCCCAAACCCTACAAGCTCCATATCTAGTTTTCTGGGACGTGAGTCATTACATAATGATGAGTCTAGGATATGATTTCCTTTTATTTTTTTTTTAGGTCTTTTTTTTTTTTTTTCTCTGTGAGCAGAGTATGAGAAGTAACATCTATTGAGTATCTATCCTGGGCAAGATTTTTACCTACACTATTCCATTTAATCCTCCCCCAATCTCTATGATACAAGTACCACTCACTGCTCCAATTTCACTCCGTGACCAAGGATGAAAAGATGAAGTAACTGGTTCAAGGCCATATAGCTAGTAAAAGTGAAGTCAGGTTTTTTTGTTTGTTTGTTTTTGACATGATAATGGAGATAGATGAAAGACAATCATGTAGGGCTCTTGAGTTTGCAGGACCACCTCAAATCCTTTCCTGGAATGAATAGTGCATAAATGAAATTTATTAAAGATCTTTTAAGAATGGTCAATGGCTAAAAGCAAAAGCATCTTTTGCTTATTTGACCACCAGCTTCATGCCAGGCCCTGGAGGAGGGTCTAGAGAAAAAGTGGTGAATATTGCAGGTGCTACAAGACAGGCCAGAGGACCTGCAGTGATTCAACAAGCATCTACAGTCATCTGCAGTACACCGTGATGACAATTATTATTAGAAAAGCATAGATTTGGACAGCAAGGGAATTCAGCTTAACTTAGGAGGCCAGCGAGTGTTTCGAGAATGACATAGTATTGAAGATGAAATAAAAAAGAATAAGTAGGAGTTTGAAGCAATATTTATATATCTTTTACAACATTGAATTTTTCCAATGTTGTACTAAAAGAACAGTTGTTCTAAGGTGCTACGTAGGAATATTAAAATGTTCCAAATGATTTGTCACAAGCATTTTATAAAGACATCAACCTTCACAATTTATAATTTTACTCTTGTTATAATAAAATAGGAAATGTACATCAGAGAGAAACTCAGACCTAAAATCCAAGACTATCACTTTATGGCTCATGGAAAATTGGGGGGTAATTTCTTCTAGTTGTCAAATACTAGGCAAAGAGTATGAATCATTGAAAGGTCAGTATGATTTTTGGAGGGAATCCAGCCAGACCGCACATCCTGGATCTGGCCAGGTGTATTTATCCACCCAGATCCTTTCTGCTTGCTGCCATTGTATGCTTCACATGGCACTTTGTATTGCACAACTATTGGAAAATGATGACAATTTCCTAAATATTTTCTATGTTCAAAAGGGTTCTTTTTGGATTCAATATAATTTTAAATAAGGTTTGATCACATTCTGGTGTGTTTCAAAAGCTGTAACTTTTCTTGAGCATATTGTTGTTTATACCAGAAGAACTTACGCAATAGGAATTTACAAATCTAATTATTTTTCTGCTTTCTACCCTCATAAAACCTGTGAATAATAATATTTTGTGAAGTAAATTAATCCTGACATACAATATCATGTGTATTGGGGATTATTGCCATCAAAGATGTCATGGACTATTAAAACATAGTTTTGCTTTGCAATAGCTATTATGAGATTGAACAAGAACACACAAGAAAGGCTGTTACATTTCTAAAGATGTGCTTGGAACACAATGGTAAATGTCATAAATAGAGCTAGAAAACATGAAACAAATTAGTTGCATTTAAAATATTTCTGTCTCCAGAGATTAAAAAAGCTGAAATTTCTGGAGAAAAAAAAAATCCAGGAAATCAAAGGTAGATGCCACTAACCTAATGTGACTAGCAAACACTGTTCTGTAAATATTTCACCATAATTCCATCATAACAAAATCCCTATAAAGTAAATAATAAAGTCTAAGCCCCTTCTAAGGCAGAGGAAAGAAAATGCCTGGGGCTGGCCATTCCCACTAGATTTTAGTAAGGATCTCATGCTGTATATTTGATATAAGTGACATTTAGACATAGAATGAAGATATTAGGACTCCTGTAATTCTCCCATGTGCCTCATCCTACAACTTGACCTGACCAGCCTAGAAAATTTAAGGATTTTCTTAGGGCCTCAGAATGTCTACCTTAAATTACCCAAGATTTGAAAAGCTTCTGTTGGGGATCCCTGGGTAGCTCAGCGGTTTAGCGCCTGCCTTCGGCCCAGGGCATGATCCTGGAGTCCTGGGATCGAGTCCCACGTCAGGCTCCCTGCATGGAGCCTGCTTCTCCCTCTGCCTGTGTCTCTGCCTCTCTCTCTGTCTCTGTGTCTCTCATGAATAAATAAATAAAATCTTTAAAAAAATAAAAATAAATTTTAAAAAGCTGTTATCACAGTAGTCATAAAACATAGATTATCTGGGCCTCATAAATTGATATCTTTGTGTAAATGTCTGAGGAAAAGAGGGGAAAGACATACCTTGTTTTGGTTGCAAAGTAAATTTATTTTCCAAATTATGTTTATATCCATGTGTGTACGTGAATGAATCACTTGGCTATTACTATATAACAAACCACCCAAAACTCAGTGGTTTAAACCACAATTCTAGAGGTAGGCAATTTAGAGTGGGATCAAGTAGGTGGTTCTTCTGGTATCAGCTGGCCTCCTCAGTCAGCTGCAGACCAGCTCTGCTGATCTTGGTTGGATTTTCTCATATGTCTGGGGCCTCCGCTGGGATAAATCCACTGACTCAGCCCTGTGCTATGTGGTTGTTCATCCTCCCGCACGTGGTTTGGCAAAACTATAGTCTACTGCCTGTTTTTATATATAAAGTATTATTGGAACACAGCCACACCCATTTGTCTATTGTCTCTACACTAAAACAGAGTTGTGGAGTGTGACAAGAACCTTATGGCACACAAAGCCTAAAATAGTTACTCTCTGTCCCTTTTTGTAAAAAGTTGACTGAGCCCTGCTCTCCAACGGTTTGTTCACATGGCAGTTTCAGGGATCCAAGAGAAAGAACGGAAATTCACAAGGCCCCTGGGGAGTTAACCATGAAACTCGCACACTGTTTTCTTCTGCCCCATTCAGTTGGACAAATTAAGTTATATGGCTGGCCCAGATCCAAGGGAAGGGGAAATAGGATCCATGTTTTGATAGAAGAAGCTAAAAAGTCAGATTTCAAAGGGCACGCCTTCAGGGAGTAGTGAAGGAGTCTATTCGTGGTTGCAATTTAGATCACATAAGAATTACCTTCAGACTAAAAGAATTATGGTGGAATAGGTAGATAGATTTATTAGGAAAGCCCATGAGAAATTATCTGAGTCCCTGTTAATTACAAATACGTGATCAAGAAGTCCCTGTAGATTGCTGTCAAAAGAACATGCCTACAATTATTTTGGCAGAGATTAACTTAAACTCTTAGTTACTGATACTAAAACCAGGTCCTGGGAGACTGGTACAGGAGATTGTTCATTACATGATCTTAGGAAACAGTTAATAGGCTTGTATCTACTGATTCTTGATCTCTGATCCTTAAGGGAAATAAAACAAAGCACAATTAAAATTACTGAACTCATTAAGGCGACCGGGCTATGGAAACAAATAGACCCAAATGGAGAATGATTCCAATATAATAAAAGTTTTTCCCTTGCCCAGTAAAACGGTCCACACAGTGATTCAGGGACACAGGCTCCTCTTAAGTGTGGCTCTGCCATTTCTAAAGCAGGTCATTCTATCAACAGCAAAGGGGAGGAGAATTTGGAGGGAGGTCACATCTCTCGTGAAAGTCTTGGTCCAAAAGCAATACACAGCACTCCTGTGTGTATTCTGTTGGTGAAAATGCATCAGTTTGGGACACCTAACTTCAAAGGATTATGGAATATGCCCTCATAACTCTACCTAGAAAGAAGAGGAAAGGGATTTGGGGACACAGTTTGGAGTCTTTGCCACGGTGAACCTTCTGATCATCAAATATTCATTCTTTTCACATACATAGAACACATAGACCCCTTCACAGAGGAGACCCCCTAAGTCCTCTGCAGTTACTGCTTCTGGCTCAAAGACCAGGATCTCTGGGTGATGACCAGTCCTCCCTGTAAGATCAAGATGCAGTCCCTTGCAGTCTGACATAATACTTAGGACTGGGCCAGGAGAGATGTCATAAGAGCTGCAATTCGAGAAAGACATGACTAGCACACAGCACACAGCATTCACTGGTTCATGATGAATTCATGCTGGGAAGGTGTTTGTCAGTGAAGGAAGTGATTAGAAACTGGGTGTCCATTCTGGGATGAATTCTGCTGCCCATTGTTGTCCTTTTGAGAGTTTCTTCTTGGTTCATTATCCTCCAAGACTCCACCGGAAAGAGCTGGTAGGAGACTATTGTCCTTTATAGGAGTTAAACAGTAGCCTGCTTCCTGCTCTGGTGAGTTTGGGGGCCCAAATATTACCTTAAGATTTATACAATCAATGGACTTTGAGACTGGGATCAAGATTTATTGCACAACACAGTTCTGTCAAAAATTCAGTAGACTTCTTGTCAGTTTACGTATAATCAGTTTCATGATCGTATCAATACCTAAAATTATTACATAGATATAGTTTTCAAACCTTGTTGATTTCTTTACTAAACTCCGTGAAGATAAGGATTCTATCTTGATTCATCCCTATATACCCAGCATCTAGCATTTACCTGTAAGAAAGCAAAGTAGGAACAAGAATTGAATATATAAAGTGCCTGATATGACACGTTTGATATGTTGGTCTCCAACAATGGTGGCTGTGAACATGACGTGAGAAACTCTTTGGAGAGGAGACAGCCAACCAGGGTCTTAACTCTGGCTCTGCCACCACACAGCTGGGTAATATCATGCAAGTTGTTTTCCTCGTATTCTAAACTGTCCTGACATTGTTGTTTCACACTTTTATCATTCGCGCCCAATCCTTCCTTTTTTTTTCTTTCCTTTCCACCTCTATGATTCATTACCAACTGTTGATGGAGGAAAGGCTTAATCTTGAGATCAAAGTGCCATGAGAAGCCCATAGGCAGATCTATAGGGAAGTCTTCAAACTACAAGTGCTACAAAGATAATAGGATTTATTGCAGGAAGCAGTTGCCATCCAGCCCAGTGTGTTCCATTTAAACACAGGCTCCCTTTGACGCCATGAGATTTTGAGCAGGGCCTGTGTGGTATGTGGTCGGTGGTTAATGTACCTTTGGAAACGCAACACGTTGAGCATGAAGGTTGAAATTTGTTTGTCATGATACACATGGCTAATATCCCAAAATATTTAAAGTAAAGCTGGAGCTGTGCAGTGTGTAGAGTAGGACTTACTCTCAGCCCTGGCTGCACATTAGAACCACTAAATACTAGTGCTTGCACCCCACTTCCAGAGATTCTGGTGGAAGTGCAATTTTAAGACCTCCCCAGTGCTTCTATTTGAGAACCACCGCTTTTAACAGGGAAGTGTATCCTTGGGAAGACACTCTCTTTAGCACCTGCTCCTAGAGGCAAGACAAATATCCAGCCTACTTTATAGCTTTTCTACGGTGTTATTACTTGGATTAGTCATGGTCTTCCTTTTGGTCATATTTTTAGATGAGGATTGTTTGCTTTGTGAGGAGGACTGGGCTGGGCCATGGGGGGTCAGCTTAAGGGGGGCTCCCTGGCAGCCAGAGTGGTTAACACTTGGCTCTTCCTCGGCAGCACATCATGCTCGTCCAGCGTCAGATGTCTGTGATAGAAGAGGACTTGGAAGAGTTCCAGCTTGCTCTGAAACACTATGTGGAGAGTGCTTCATCCCAGAGCGGATGCTTGCGGTAAGCGCTCTTGAATGTTCCTTAGCCGAGGGAACTGGGAGAGCAGGTATGGGGGACGGGCATTTGAGAAGCCTGTTGTGTTTATGTTGAGCACCCAGCCCTCTGGGTGAGGCAGACTGCAGACTTTAATTGGGTGTTTCTCTTCGATTCTTGGACTCTGTATGGATTTGATCATTGGGGGCACCGAGGGAAATAAAACGGTGACAACGGTTTGAAGAGGGGAGTTTCTCTCCTCGCCTGACATCTCCCCTTCTGCATCCAGGCAGGCCCACACTGATTTAAAATCACCCCGATAGATGAGCTCCAGCTCTAGTGCGTCTAGCTCTGATTGCTCCCTTGGCAGCGTGCCCCGTAGCCTAATAGCGATTTCAGCCACTATGAAATTGTACAAAATCTGAAGTCTTGATTGCAGACCTTGGTCATAAAAAAATAAATTAAAAAAAATAAAGAAAAGAAACCACTTCTTTCCGTAGTCACCCCAGTTCAGGCTTAGATTATCTGAGGCTACTAAAATTTATGAACTATTCCTCATTTTCAGTGTCTCTGCGCCAAGTGGTCCAATCAATAGTTACTAGGATAATTTTACAGAAACAGTTCTTAACAGAATTCCCTTCATCAGGAACTGCAGTAACTCTGAGTTTCTTAACCAAATACTAGATGTTTCTCTGACCCTATGTTTTTCCTACTCAAAAACGCACAGCACTGCTCACTTTGGCTCTCTCCACCTGAGTATCAGCAGTGCCCAGCTGCCCATTGTCTTTCCAGCATAACCTGTACCTTAGACCTGGCCACTCACCTGCTTCTGGAAAACTACAACCAAATCTACCCCTACCTCGGGGTTTGTTTAAACTGCATCTCATAATGCCCAATTCCTCATGGAGAACTTGCTAAAACCCTAAGACGGCTGTGAGGATGAACTGAGTGCTAAACACCAAGGGGCCCAGAAAACGTGAGCTGGGGTGACTGTGGCCTCATCCTCTGGCTGAGCCCTGACCCACTCTGTCGAGTTGTAGGGGACTTGTCAGTGCCTACAGTCTTCCCAGGCATGTCTGCATAATAGAAACGCAGGAAATGCAGAGTTTGCGTTGTTTTTCACAAAAAAACTGAGAAGGGCTCACATTAAAACCATTTTTAATCCTTTTAGTTCAGTGACTTAGGGGTCTGCCAAAGTTTGAGTATATGTAGTCTTAAAAGCCTACTCCTCTGAGACTGAAATGGAATGCTTGGAAAATGCATGTGAGTGTGTGTGTGTGTGTGTGTGTGTGTGTGTGTGTGTGTGTACACCGTCCATAGCAGGAACTGCTCACCCAAAGAAGTGGGGACATGGGAAAGATAAAGTCTTGTTTGGTAGTCACAGTCTCCAGGAACGGGTTAGACTTCTCACATTTATAAATAGGGCACAGAGTTTGATTATTTTTTTATAAATTTATTTTTTATTGGTGTTCAATTTGCCAACATATAGAATAACACCCAGTGCTCATCCCATCAAGTGCCCCCCTCAGTGCCCGTCACCCAGTCACCCCCCACCCCCTGCCCACTTCCCCTTCCACCACCCCTAGTTCATTTCCCAGAGTTAGGAGTCTCTCATGTTCTGTCTCCCTTTCTGATATTTCCCACTCATTTTTTCTCCTTTCCCCTTTATTCCCTTTCACTATTTTTTATATTCCCCAAATGAATGAGACCATATAATGTTTGTCCTTCTTCAATTGACTTATTTCACTCAGCATAATACCCTCCAGTTCCACCCATGTCGAAGCAAATGGTGGGTATTTTTTAAGGATTGGTGATAGTTCTTTAATGTGTGCTGGGGAAAAGCTAGAAGCTACACAGATGGCCCCGAGGGGTGAGGAGAGCAGTGGCAGGAGAGCAGCTATGGAGATAGACCTGCATGACCTGCTACAGACTATTCCGTCAACAGCCTTAGGACCCTGGCTCTGTGGGCTCCAGCTGTGAGGTTGGGGTGGGGGTGGGGGGGCTCTTCCAATGAGATAATGAGACTCTCAGCCTCTCCTTTTCCTTTGCAAGCTCGTTTATTTAAGAACTCTTCACTCACTTACTGCTGATTTTTCAACTGATTTCTGTCTTTTACTGGAATTATCAAAAAAGTAGACTTAATCAGATGGAAATGAGCATCAGAGAATCGCTCCCCATGGACGGAAACCATGTGAAATACACGTTATGCCCACATGCCTGTCTAAATTCTGTCGTGCCACTTCGTCAAATTCAGTTTTCTTCTGTATCAGCTGATGAGCAATCAGATGGGCCACTCACGTTGTCCATCGTGCTCCAGCGTGCCCTGCACCATTGCCTTGTGCTTGGCTGATAAAGTAGAACTCAGGATTACCAGTTTTGCAGTTTCTTTTCCCCTGATAACAGGCTCAGCTTCACCATGGCTAGATAAGAAATGTTGCCATCAAATAAAGTAGGAATTAATGATTAATGACTAGGCATTTTGTTTCCATTTTCTTATTTAGTCTCCCCTGCAATCATCCGAAGTATGTATCACATCCTCTGAAGGCGAGAATAGGCTCAGATGCATTAAACATCTTGCCCTAGCGTATCTGACTCCAAAACCCACATTTTACTCCTTCTTGCTAGTATTTGGTCATCCTTGAATTAAAGTTTTCTGGACTTCCTGTGGTTAACCAGGGGTAGAATGGACGAGATCCCTCCTGTTCCAATTACAAGGCTTAGTTTCTCAAATTTGGACAACTGACTTAGAGAGGCTTTTGCCCTGAAGTCATCTGACCACAACACTCAAGAGGTTTAGGGGCTGACGGAACCCTTACCAAAATGTCAGTCACTTGAGTTCTAAAATGATTGTTAGCGGAAAAGCCACGTGAATCAGTTATGTGACCGTTGTGTGTGTGCACACAAAAAATGATTTTTTTGGTTATTTTTTATAAGATTTATTTGAGAGGGAGAGAGGGAGCAGGTTTGGGGGAGGGGCAGACAGAAAGAATCTTCAAGTAGACTCTGCTGAGCGTGGAGCCCTACGTGGAGCTCAGTCTCACAACTCGACCCAGGAGATCATGACTTGAGCTGAAAACGAGTCAGACACTTAACCAACTGAGCCACCCAGGCGCCCCTCTTTTTGCTTATTTTATAATCATGACGGCTTACGAATCCCCGTGGGGAGCTACCAATTGAATATATGTGGTGTACCCAGTGTATTCTTAGAACTGTGCTTGACGTCAGGAAAAGTGAGGAAAGGTTCTGCTTTCAAGGGTCTTAGAATCCAGTTGGGGAAATAGGTTACTCATTCATAGGCTAAAGTCTCACAACTATTAAATAGGATGAAATGATTTCTGAAGTCACTCTTAGATAAGAATTCTAGAATATGTTATGTGTTCTAAACTCCATGTCAAGGGCCTAGAGAACATGAATGTGGAATTGTATTAGAAGACATGATCCTGAGACTTTACCATGGCCAAAGAAACATCTTAAAGAACTAATGATATGCTGTGGCATATTGACTATGAATAATTTATCAGCATTTTTGTGCAAGTAACATAATTCGGTGGCTGGAGCTTGGTGTGGAGAAATGTGGGGGTGGGGGCGGGGGGCAGGAGACTCCCTTGTATTGTGTTGTGCCTTTTCTCCAGTGGTTAGGTTCTATGAGCTAAAGTAGGGCGTGTAGGAAAAGGAGGAAGCCAAGAGGAAGAGAGTTTTGTGTAACTTATCTTCAACCCCAACTATTCTTGAGCCACGTCCTTTTCCCCCTGGAAGCTATTTCACCACTTTTTCCCAGCTGTTGGGGATATTCAAGGTCTCCCAGAGCTCAGGGCTGAAGCTCTTAGTCACTGTATCCAGGGACAACTTAGCCAAAGAATTCTTGCTTCAGCCAGTGAGTGGTGTCAGAGGACACACCAAGGAGGGAGACTGAAGCACATTAGCAACAGCTCAGAAATGTTCTATGTAATTCTAAGTGTGCAGATAATTGAAAGCTGATCATTCAAGCCTTCTGCCTTTTCGAGAGAAATATTGCTGATTTCTTAGTGTCGTCATTGCACGTTACGCACATGTCGCTCTTTGTACTGGACGGTCTTAAATAGCAACATCCTTAAATGTCATTGCTGTGTATTGGTCAGTCTTGCTCATAACTGAAACCACCCAGTCTTTAGAGCAATTCTGATTAGCATTTTCACCTGTGTCCCTTTGAGCCAAAATCCACGCTGGTCTTCAGCCCTGCCACCTGGCTCTTCACCAGTCGGCCTGTAGCCAGAAAGAACGAGAAGAGAATAGTCCCAACAAGTCCTCCTCTTATGTCTGAGGCTCGGGGTGCAAGCATTTCCAAGAAGCCCTTGCTTCCCAGCACACGTTCTTTGGTATCCGTTGGTCCAGCTCAAGTCACATGGTCATTTCTTGACTCCAGAGCAGGTGAGAAAACCCGTATCCAACAGAGAAGTGGGAGCTGGTGATGGCTGTCTCAATCCAGTGCTGACTGGTACGTTGGCTATATTGTGAGCTCAGCAGTCGCAGGCTTCTGTTAAGAGTGAGTAATCGTAGAGGCAGCAGTGTCTGCTGTATCGCCCCAGAGTCCATGTGAAGGTAGAATTACTCAGTCTGTGTCAAGTGCTTAGACCAGGGGCTGGAATAGAGCCATATATGGTAGCAACCGTCACCATCGCTGTTGGCGCGTACAATGATACGGCAATTGTCACCATTATTGGCCTGCAGCTTTACGTTGTTTTCACAAATGTCTTTTTCCTTCAGTTGTTGGGGTTGTTTTGCTTTGTTTTGTTTTGCCTGGTCTGGTTTTCTCTCCAGTTCCTTTTACTTCTGTTGTGCTTTTCAGCTTTAACACCGTTTAAGACTTATTAGCCTTTCTAACTGCTCATCCAGTGGAAGTGCCACTTTCTTCTGAGCTATTGAACTAACAGCGAATTCAACACCCCAAATTTGCCAGGGACTGGGCTAACTGCTCTGCAGGCAACCCTTTAGTCCTCACTGTCCTGTTTTGTTTTGTTTTTTTTTTGTCCTGTTTTTATCATCATTTTACCGATGAGGAAACTGAGGTTAGTAATGGGCCCAGAGTAACAAAGCTACGAAGTTGTAGAGGAGGGTAGGCCTGCTGGTCTATACTTCAAACAATTGCCTGACCACACTGATACTTTTCAGTTCTTTAAATGCTTGAGAATGATGCTAAAAATATTTTTTTAATTCCTTACAGTCTTACGGATGTCTAGAAGGTCTAGATTGCAGGATAAGTTGGCTTTTAATGTAATAAGTAATATAAATGAATCAGTAGTTCTTGAAGAGCCTAAAGTGCTAAGCTGAATATTTTAAACTTTGTCCTGAAAAAACAGTCATGGGTTGAAATTTGTCCCATTACATCATCAACTTATGTTTGGAGATTATAGACGCTTTGAGGCTATTGTGAAAGCTATGTATTTTCTTCCCAAAATAAAAAAGACATGCACATCAATTTGCAGCTCATTTCAAGGATTTCCAGGAACCCCACCCAAGAGCTCACTTATGAACTCCGAGAATTAGATAATCTCTGATTTCACTTTCCATCCGCTTCCTTTGATTCTATTATAAACCTTTTCCCTAGAAAATTTGAGATTGAGTTAGCAATATTTGCTACATCATACCTTAATTAAGATAAACAGCTATGAAAAAACTATTTACAGGCAAAGAACTAAAGGAAAAAAAGCATTAAAATTTCTGTGTGTAGTTACCACCACCTGCTGGTCACACTTAGGTAATTCCTAAACTACATTTAGCTTGACTTTTACCCTGATAACATTCTTTATTCTCTTTTAAATCAATATCCTTGCTGTTAGTTTAGACTCTCATTTTGATTTCTAATCTGGATATAATGTAAAACTGTAGACTGAGCAAGCTGGACTGAGGGAATTTTTTATTTTTTAGAAAATTATAATTCCGGGGTAATTAACTCTGTGTTAGCTTCAGGTGTAGAGTGTAGTGATTCAAGAGTTTTATACGTTACTCAATGCTCATCCTGATACGTGTCCTCTTAATCCCCTTTACCTATTTCACCCATCCCCCACCCCCCCACCCCATCCACCTTCCTTCTGATAACCACCAGTTTATTCTCTATAGTTAAGAGTCTGTTTCTTGGTTTGTCTCTTTTTTTTCACTTTATTTCTTTTGTTTCTGAAATTCCACGTGGAGTGAATCATGGTATTTGTCTTTCTCTGAATTATTTTGCTTAGCATTATACTCTCTAAATCCATCCATGTTGTTGCAAAGGGCAAAATTCTATTCTTTTTTTATGGCTGAGGAATATTCCTCTGGGGAAGTGCATGTACCACATTTTCTGTTTCCATTCATCTATTGATGGACACTTGCTTCTATATTTTGGCTATTGTAAATAATGCTGCAATTACCATAGGGGTGCATATATCATTTCCAATTCATATTTTTGTATTCTTTGGGTAAATACCCAGCAGTGGAATGACTGGATCATATGGTAATTCTATTTTTAATGTCTTGAGGAACCTCCGTACAGTTTTCCACAGTGGCTGCATCAGTTTGCATTCCCATCAGCAGTGCACAAGGGTTCCTTTTTCTCACATCCTCACCAACTCTTGTTGTTTCTTGTGGTTTTTATTATTATTATTATTATTATTATTTTAGCCTTTCTGACAGGCTTGAGGTAATATGTCATTGTGGTTTTGATTGGCATTTACCTGAGGTTTAGTGATGTTGACCATCTTTTTTCATGGCCACCATCTGTCTTTGGAGAAATGTCTGTTCGTGTCTTCTGCCCACTTTTTAACTGGACTATTTATGGGGTTTCTGTGTTCAATTGTGTAATTTTTTAATATTTTTTTGGATACTAACCCTTTATCAGATGTGTCATTTGCAGATATCTTCTCCCATTCCACAGGTTGGCTTTTTTTGTTTGCTGTGCTGAAGCTTTTTATTTTGATGTAATCCTAATAGTTTATTTTTGCCTTTGTTTCCCTTGCCTCGGGTGACAGATCTAGAAAAATTTTGCTAAGGCTGATGTCAGGGAACTTATTGCCTATGTTCGCTTCTAGGATTTTTATGGTTACAGGTCTTACATTTAGATCCTTAATCCATTTTGGGTTTCTTTTTGTGTATGGTGTAGGAAAGTGGTCCAGTCTCAGGTGGCCTTGGGCCCGAGTTGAGTCAGACCTAGCATTTGCCAGAGATGTAGTGGCACGGAACTCAGGGCACTTCCACTGTTTTGTATTCTGAAAGTTTCTGTTCATTGTTGAGTGGGGCCTGTGGTCAGACCAGATGTCCACCCTCAGCCCACTGCTGGGGCCCTGGTTGGGCTGGTGGGGATGTGGCTATCTTCCCCTTTCCCAGGGGCAGGCATCGCTGTGGAGTGATGCCGGCCTGGGCAGAGATGCTTGTGCACTGCCAAGCTCTGGCTCTACTTTGGATGGGATCTGGCCAAGAGCGTGTGTATGGGGGAGGAGGGGGGGGGGCAGATCCACTGAAGTGTGCAGGGGCTGGATGTGTGTTGTTTGCAGGGCTTGTGCTGGTCCACTGTGGGAAGGACCTGCAGCCACCAGGACCAAGACAGGCCAAGTTGGAGAGGGTGGATCTGCCTAAGTGCAGGGATCGGGGGCGGGCAGGAGGCATAGTATTAGCGCGTTATGTAGGGACTGTCTGCTGCTCGGGTTCCCCCAGGTGGCTGTGTGTTCATAGTGGAAGGCAGGGGAGGAAAGTGGCACCTGCCTGTTCCTTGGTTCCTGGAGAAACCTGCCACTGATCCCTGCCCCTGCAACACATGCCCTGAGATTAGTAAACAAGGACACCCCAATCGTATTTTCAAACTGCTGCTTCTAGCTGTACGTTCATGGGGCTGTTTGTTGTGCTCCTAAAGGACAGGGCTTCAGTTTCCTGTTGCCCTCCAGGCTCTCCCAGAGCCAGCCCTGATGATTTTTAAAGTAGGTCTTAAGTCCCACTGGTCGTAAGAACTCATGCAGTTTGGCCCTTCTGATTTTCAAATCAAATTCATCCTGCCTATGCAGGCTTCCTAGTGTGAGGGTCTGTTTCTGTCTCTTCTCTAGCCCCCATGGGTCCGTCTCCTCTGCCAGCAGTCCCGTGGTCCATGTAGCTCCCAGCAGTATTCTTACCCTGTTCCATGTGGTTTCTTCTCCACATTTAGCTCTGGAGAATCTGTCCTGCCGGTCTGTGGGTCATTTTCTGAGTTACTTACACTGATGTGGCTGTCCTCTAGTTCTGTCTGTGGGACAAGGTGAATTAGGGTCCTCGTTCTCCACCTTCTTCCTTGAAAGTTCCTGGAATTAATTTTTTAAAGGCATCTTTGTATTTGTCTCTCATTCTCCCTTAAATTTATGAATCTGTCCCCTCCTCCTTTCTACCTTAATTTGGATCTTTGTCATCACTCCCCTAAGCAGTTTCACCACGTTTCTAGCTTTTCTTCCTCTGTCGTATTGACTTTCTCCATGGGATACCTCACACCACCATCAGGATATTTAAAACCCACCCCGAACCCTAATATTTACCTGTTTTAAATCCTTCAGTGGTTCTTCATTGCTCCAGGATTAAATCCAGCCTTCACCCCCAGTGTGTCTTTGCAGCACACTCCCAATCCAACTCCTCTAAAACGTATTACATAGCCTTTTAGCCACTCTCAAGCTAATCAAAGAATTGCAAGGGACAGATTTTTCTGCCCAAAATTGGAAAAGCAAAAAAACAAAAAAACAAAAAACAAAACACAAAACAAACCTACAGTTATGGCTAGAATGTAGACTCTCAAAGTTGGAGAAAATTGGGAGGGGTGTGTGTGAGAGAGAGAACGATGGGCACTGGCAGACCAGAAGCCTTGCTACATAGCAGCAATCCAAGGCTAAGGTAAGGCCAGGAATCTGGGAAGAGCTATGGCAGCAGAGAGGATAGATTCAAGGAGCTGCACTTGAGGGCAAGGGCAAGGGCAGTGGCAGGCACTCAACATTTTTCAGAACCCTAACACAATAGATACTCGATATTTTGAATGAATGGAATTTTACAGAAGTTATGTGTGTGATGTCTATAATATATTGAGATGATTTTCATGATGCCAAACCAGAAAATTAAAAAATTATGTCAAAACAGAGATACTAATCAATTCTTCACAAAAATTTCATTTTCATGCAGGCACCATAGTTGCTTCCTATATGAATAGGTTAAGATTGTTTCATACCACATACAGAGATGATTAGAAAAATTAGTTTGCTTCTTGGGGCACCTGTGTGGCAGACAGTTAAGCATCTGATTCTTGATTTCAGCTCAGGTCATGATCTCAGGGTCATGATATCAACCCCACGTAGGGCTCCTTGCTCAGCGTGGACCCTGCTTCAGATTCTCTCCCACTGCCGCCCTACCCCCAGCTCACTCTCTAAAATAATTAACTAAAATCTTTAAAAAAAGAAAAATTAGTTTGCTTCCTGGGGCCACTTACACTTTTTCTTTTCCATTTCAGTATTTCCATACAGAAGCTTTCCAGTGAATCTCGCTACATAATTTATGAGTTTTGGGAGAACAGCAGTGTGTGGAATAGGTAAGTAATAAGCAGACTTTTTTTTTTTTTTTTTGAGCCAAGGAGAGGGAAATATACGTTATGTTTTTAGGACTTGTAGGGAAGAGCTCTATTCCCTTTACATCTCCTCTGGAATTCCCATTTGTTCATTTTCCTAAATCCCATCATTTTAGGAATTTATTTCATGGATTAGAAACCAGTTTCTTCTTGAAGAACAAATGCTTTTAGTAATGATACTACTTTAAGTGTTAACCATTTTACTGATGTAAGAGTTAGATATGGGTCATGGGTGTCTAAAGTGTCAGGAGGGCAGGTGGACAAAGGACACAGAAAAGGATGAGAAAATAATTTTACTTTCTAATTTTTCACAAATTCTGTGGTATTTTACTTTACCATGAAACTATATATAATGACTAAAGTCATCATAGCTTATTTAACTTTTCTAAATGTCTTTAAACACTGCAAAAAAAAAAGGAGGGAAAATAAAGACATTCAATTAAAAAATCAACTTCTCTTGGTAACTATTATTCAGTGTATAAAATCATATTGTACATGTTGAATGTACAACGGAGTTAAACAGATCCACCCTATTTGAAATTAATTACAAATAAGTAACATATAATTAGAAGAATGGGATGAAGAATATTTTTGCTATTCTGAGATTATATAGTTCTAGTGGATTTTAAATGGCAGAGAATATAGCCCTCCAGTAAGTCCATATTTAGGGTTTTAAATATGGTAATGGAAATAATGGAACACTTGGAAATTTCGTTAATAAATATTTCACCCAGAAGTTCTATTTTTTTGACTATTTTAAGACTACAATACATAATGATACCAGTAGAATTTCAAACTCAAAAGGGAAATTTAAAGGCAACTTACTCAACTTTGTACTCCAGGCCTACACTTTTAGATGACTTTTCTTTTTTTCCTGAGTGAGAGAAAATCTATAGTCTCCCTTCCTAGCTATCCTATTTTTTAATCATCCTGACAGCCAATATATTCTTCCTTCTGTTTAAACTTCTCTGCAGTTGAAATCTTTCTCCTTTTGTTTTATCTTCTATAGGGAATTAACGTTCTTCTGTTTTTAAAAGTCTTTAATTTTTTTTCTGATGACAATTGTTGAGTCTCGTTTTTAAGGCTAAATAACCATAAAAAGAAGTCTATTCAAATGCTTAATTAATACCATCCCAAACCTTGCCATCTTGACTGAATTTGAACTCTGTTGCACTCTCCTTAGGAAGATAATAAAAGTGCACAGCCTTAACCTATAATTATTTATACAGCCACCTTCAGACGAATTATAGCAAGACATTCCAAAGAAGCAACGTGGATTTCTTGGAAACTCCAGAACTCACATCTACTATGCTAGTTCCTGGTAATTATCCTGGTTTCACAGTGCTTCTATATGCTTTCTGTATTGTCTTTTGCTTTTTAAAACATAGTATGTTCTTTCCCCCTACACTTCATCATGGTGCTCTATTTATTATACTTTAAAAGGGGTGGGGGGAATAAGAGATCTATACATTCTACTGTCTTTAGTCCTTAGTTGATCCTATTTGTGTTCTAATATTAGTCATTTCCTGGTCACATTCAGTAATTTAACAAACTTACAAGTCAAATCATGATATTTCCAAAAAATCATTCAAATGCTTTGCCATAATATAGTGTATTGAATAAACTTGAAATGTGTGACCCACAGACTCCAGATTAGAATTATGCTGGAAATATTTAATAGCTGTTAAAATATTTTATGTAATTGGGGGAAAGCAGAATGGAAAAAGAAATTTGAAATGAATTGTCTAAGAAGTCTGCTAGCCAAGGCTTAAGATAATTGAGAACTGAAATTCATTTGTACCGTGTACCCTTCCAGTCACCAGTGAAATATATTTGCTGAACGTTATATGTGCCAGGTACTAGAATATACTGGGATGCTTAGCCTGTTTGCTAGTGCTGAGTTCCAATTCTGCATAAATACTATGTTGGGAGCTAGAGACGGTGCAAGGAAAGAAATGCAGTCACTTCCCATAAAATGCTTTCTATCCAGTAGGAAAGACAAATGCTTGCAGAAACCAACCAGCTCAGGGCATATCCTAGCAGTTACGTTACCACTGGTCATAATATGCATGTGGATTTAAAAAGAGAGGACTCAGGAGCTGGAACTTATAAAGTGAGAGTTGGACAAAGAAAGAGAATACTTTGGTAGAAGTAAATTATAGACATGAACAAATGCAAAAAAATGTTAAATGTTTTGGCTAATTGTTACAAAGGTTAAGACCAAGGCATAGGGCTTATATATGGTACATGTAGAGAGGGGAAGAGTAGGAAATGGAGTAGAAAATACAATGAGGAGTTTGAACTTCATAAAATGGAGTCATTAAAGGTTTTTGAGAAGAGTGGTGAATGCTCTACTCAGTAGTGACTGGCAGGAGGGAGACAGGTGGATGTCACGGGTTGGTGAGAGATTGGTCAGGTAAGGCAATAATCTAGGCCAGGAAAAAGAAGGCACCTGAACCCCGAGCTACCCAGAGAGTTCACTTGCCAATACAGTTTCAAGAGGTTAATCACAGCAAGATGGTATTTGAAACCTGGGTTTGGTGAGAAAGGGTATATATAGGTAGAACAAAATATCCAACAGAAGCCTAGGAAAATGCCTTTATTTAAAAGGGAGGGGGAAAGCTCCCTTTATTCAGGATGCAGAGGGGAACCACTCAGAGAGGAGAATCAGACTAGTAGAGTAGCAAGGAAACCAAAAGAATACCGTGCAAGCAGAGTGCTTGTGTGTGTAGTAGAGAGGGACTGAAGAGAATGAACTGAAAACTGGATTTGACAAGAGGTCACTGTTCAAGAGAACGGTTTTAATACGGTGATAAGAATTTGAAAATTAGGGTAGATTTTGATGAATTAGGGAAAATATGGAAAGTAAAAAGGTAAATTCTGAAATTGAAGGTAGGTGGGGAGATGGGGGGAGATCAGGGGTGGATGCTTTCCAGTCAGCCGACCTACCATCTCTGAGATTTAGGCAAACACTTACTCTGGATCCTAAGGACAGGTCTGTCTGGCCCAGGGATGGTAGACTTGTAGACTCACCTTTGCTGTATATCTCAGACTTAATCCTCAAATAAGAAAGCCATGAATATGGCCAAAGTTTTTCTAATACTCTTTCTCTCTCAAATCATTTCCTAATTTAGAAGAGTTGGGCTAGGTCAGTTCTTATTCCCAGAGCCCCAATTCATTGCAGTTTAATGCCTTGTTACCCAGTTTTGCATTAATTTTCATATCACATTTAATTTCAACGGTAACCACTGAAATTTCTAAGAACAAAAAGAAAAGATAGGTTTGATTTCTAATGCAATGTTTTAAATCTCCCTCAAGATTTTTAACCTCTATTTGGGGCATCTTTTTTCTTTTCTTTTTTCTTTTCTTTTCCTTTCTTTCTTTTTCTTTCTTTCTTTTCTTTCTTTCTTTCTTTCTTCTTTCTTTCTATCGATTTATTTATTTAAAGATTTATTTACGAGGGAGAGAGAGAGAGGCAGAGACACAGGCAGAGGGAAAAGCAGGCTCCATGGAGGGAGCCCGACATGGGACTCGATCCTGGGCCTCCAGGATCATGTCCTGGGCTGAAGGTGGTGCAAAACCACTGAGCCACCCAGGCTGCCCTATCTTTTCTTTTTAATGTGAAAGTTTTGTCAGTTGCAACAGCAGATACACCTCCCTGGACTAATTGCCGGAATTAGCTTACATTTAAAGATTTTATTTATTCCAAGGGGGTAGAGAGAGGCAGAAGGAGAGAGAAAAGGAGAAGCAGACTCTCCTCTGAGCAGGGAGCCCAATGTGGGGCTCGATCCCAGGCCCCTGGGATCATGACCTGACCTTGAAGGCAGACGCTTAATTGACTGAGCCACCCAGGTGCCCCTCCTTCATGGTTTTAATGGCCAAACAACTTGTAACATTTTTAGTAATCATATTTACGAATTTCTTTTTGCTATATGGATATGAAGGCTAAAAATAAAAAAAGCATTTTAGCTGTACATAATTAGACCTAAAATAAAAACATGAAAAAACACCTATTATACAGAGATGGGTAGGTTTATATTTTTAACTCACAAATTATGATTTCCAATAAGACTTTTTGATTAAGTTTCTAAGTGGTTTACCTAAGTACATCTTAAGAAATATATTCCTGTGGACTCTCAAATATCAAAATCATGAGGTATACTGGAGTGCGGCCAGATGGGCCCACTAGCCATCATAAAACACCCAAAGTATGAAGAACTCCGTGTGTGGAGCAGAATGTCCCTTAGCAAATGAGAAAGGCCTGTGGCTAAGAGAAAAGATGAGGATACACAAGGAAGTAAGATCCTATCCTATATGCCTGCCTGATTATCACCCAAATAACTTTGTAAACAAATTTTAACCCTTTCCACAGGATTCCATCTTACTCTTACTTCTTTGCCAGATTTGTCTTTGGGGTATTTGTATTCACAGGGGAAAACATTTTCAGTCTTATAGATATACTAAAAAATATTTAAAACAACTGCTTATACCCAGTCTTTCTGAAATTGTTATGTAAAACTATCTTATGATCCCAAACTGCTTCCAGTACTGGGTAGATTAAAACAACATGATTTCATCTTCAGGGCATTTATAATCTCATTGCCAAGATAAGCTCCATTCATACATAACAAAAAATTAGACTACGACCAAATGCCAAAAGATCTGGTACAAATATTGCATAGGAAGAGTTCAATCTTGGTTCAAATAGGAAATAGTGACTTGAAAGATAATTACGCAGATTAAAGGTGGGAGAAAATAATTTAAAAAAAGATTTTATTATTCATGAGAGAGAGAGGTAGAGACACAGGTGGAGGGAGAAGCAGGGTCCCTGTGGGGAGCCGATGCGGAACTCGATCCCAGGACCCCAGGATCACAACCTGAGCCAAAGGCAGATACTCAACCACTGAGCCACCCAGGGGTCCCAGAGAATAGTTTAAGGATGATTACACCTTGAACTAACTTAGCCCTGGCAATTATTTTCATTATTTAAAAATTTGTTTTTCTCGCGGGGCCTGGATGGCTCAGTCAGTTAAGCCTCTGCCTTCAGCTCCAGGCATGATCCCAGGGTCCTGGGATTCAGTGCTGCATCGGGCTCTCCACTCAGTGGAGAGCATGCCTCTCCCTCTCTCTGCTGTTCTCCCTACTTGTATTCTCTGTGTCAAATAAATAAAATCTATTAAAATAAAATCATAAAAATTTGTTTTTTCTTTTCAGCTTCATGGTGGATCCTGAACAACTAGATGTTCCTAGACATTTTCTTTATGATTCCAAGTGGAAAACAAGTATTCTAATCTAAAATGTGAATTAGAAAATTCTCGGCAGTTACTAATCTACTCTATACTTTTAAGTAAGATGTGCGCTCTTCTAAAATGTCTTGTATATCTTTCATGTGAAGTTTAGCTAAATTTTCGAAGTTCACTCTTCTCAATATTTGCTGTTTTGCTACACTGTAACCTAAAACCCTTTAGTGGCAAAATCCTAATATGTGAAAAAAGTATACCCATAAAGGAACAAAGTTGTGAAAAAGAAATGATAAAAAATAATTGAAGTGGGAACTTTGAGAATATTACTTCATAGGATAGCTTTTGTAGATTTGTCAGACTATCAAGGTTAAATCAGTGTTTTGACATTTTTAAGTAACTGATTTTCTGTGAATGAAGTTTATTCTTCGGTAACGCTCACTCCATTCCCAGCTCATGATCTTATGAGTATTTACTGGAAAAGCTAATATGTGATCCAAAATGGTGTCCTTATGCAGAGAGAGCAACAGCAGGTGTACAGAGAAAAGGCCATATGAGAACACAGTAAGAAGGTGCCAACATCAAACCAAGGAGAGGCCTCGGAAGAAATCAACCTTGCTAGCACCTTGATCTTGGACTTTCAGTCTCTAGAACTGTGAAAAAATACTGTTTTTTAAGCTAAAGAAATAATATTAATACATGAGCATACAATGATCTTGGCTATAATCTATAGTAGACTCTGTATAGTCCTGTCAGGTTATAAACTGGTTTTTCACAAGTGAACAATTCTGTGATAGGATACCATATAGTACTGTGACATCATTATATCATCTATTAGTATCATAATTCCCTGTATGTAAGTTCAACAAATCAAGAGAATAGAGTTTTACTTTGAGAAAATCTGATTCAAATGTTTTGGCATATGATCCTAGGGGACTAATTTTCTTATGAAAAATAGACATTTGCCTTTAAATAATGATTTCAAGATATTTAAAGAACAAAATTTTAACCTAAGTGAACAAAGAAGAAATGTAAAACAAGCGTAAAACTTTAATAAAATAGGGAAGGTACTAGACATACCTTTTCCAGTTTTAACACCAGAAAGACAATTCTACTTTCATCAGAACAGTTATGTACCTAATATACTTTGCTATACAAGCTCATATATTTTTAATAAAATCTATTCCGATAAATGCTGATGAAAATCTGAAAATCCGGTGCATATGGAAGTTTGTTACCATGTTATTCTGTAGTCCAGATTCTCTTGAAACCACAGGTCTTCAAGGAAAAACCTGTAATTTTTTTTTCCACTGTTAGAAAACTGAGAAGGTTGAACTAAACTGTATTTTTTAAATATAAAATTTGACCTACAATATTTTCTCAAACTAATTTATATTAGCTCCTATCAAAGGTATACCTTTGTATACTCAGTCCTCATCTAAGTAAAACATTTTTTCATAGCTTCTTCTAGATAAGGACAGTAAATATTGACATATACACACACATAACACAAATGTGCGTATTGTGTGCACATATATATGTGTGTGTGTGTCTCTGGTCATTTCTAAAGATGACAAACACTATGAAACACCACCTGGCTCAACTCTTTTAATTTATATACAAAGCAGAGAACATTAATGGAGATGTACAATGATTATTCAAACAAGCTATACATATGTACAAAGGCAAACAGATAATAAAACAGTCTTTGTAGTCTCACTCTGATTATATACAGTGACTTCTGACATATATAAACTCTTCTTGAAAAGGCTGGTTATGAATGGTTTGAAAAAATACAAATTATAGCCAATCAAAACATTTTTCAGTATTAGATTCAGAAAGTACCTAAGTCTTTTGAGTGTAAAGCAGTTTCCAAAGTATGGTGGTGGTCTGACTTTAAAAAGGTTTCTGCCCTCAGTAACATGCTGAGCAGAATGGCTCTTTAGATTCCAAACTGGAATAGGTTCTATCACAGTTTTTTTTTTTAACTTTAAGAATAGGTAAATAAAAAAAAGAATAGGTAAATAATAAAGCAAACCAATTTAATTATATGGTAATACTGACCTCAGCTCTTATATAAATTGTGTGTGTGTGTATATGTACATCCATACACACTGAAACCTATAATAAAGGGAAAATAGGACAAAAAATCTGGGCCCTAGGTATAAATGTTTTAAGTAACCCATAAATTTATGGTTTAAATGTATTTTTCCCTATAAAAAATATTTTCCTGGGGAACGAAGTAATGAAAAGTAATATACTAAAAGACCACGATGGGAAGCCTACCATGTACGAAAAGCTTGAATCCAGGTAATACGCCCAAAACCAGTGAAGAAAAAGTTAAATTTTTTGCCAAATGGTGGTCTTGGATGCCTTGCCAGTAGACCTGGGGATCTGAGAGAGTAGAAGTAGGGAGAGTTTACACTTACCTTTATATCAGCAATTTTTTTTGACACTATGCTGGAAGAAACTTTTTTCAATAGTAACATCCAGAGTGACAAAATGCAGGAAATTTATTACATAAAATTTCTAGGAGGTAAAAGTTTAACCCCCAAATTCTTCATCCACACATGTTCTTGCTATAAGAAATTACAGAATTAAAACTTAATGTACCTCAGTTATTTGCAAATGCCTAAATTTTTCCTCCTTTGGAAATAAAAATATCAGTTTTATTTTGCAATTGCCCAACTTCTTTTGTTATGTAGTCTGATTAGAGACAACAAATAGCAGCTATTTTTCACCTTCAGTTTCATTTTTTTTCCAAATTGTCAATCTCTGCTAGTAATTACTTTATCAAAAACCTAGAGACCAAGGACATGCCTATTAAATAAAATATTAAAATATTCTCCTTCCTGTCACTGGGAACTATGCATCGAACATCCTGGGTCATTCCAAGCCTCAGGAGAGATAGTAAAGATCCTTTCAAAGTGCTGGTATGAAATCAATGGGAAAAAGAAAAGCCAACTTTAATAGCAACAAGAAATTATGTACCATATATACATCATAGCATATACTTTATATTTGAGAATCTTTACAGCTTACATTTCCATTCCATTATTATGAGATGAAAAACAAAAAATTGCAAGTAGCATGCAAATTATAAATACAGCCTTCCACTTTACTAAACAAATTCTTACTTTCCAGTGTTACTTCCCAATTTATGCAGGAAACTGCCTGCAAAGCTGAAAATGATTAGAAAATTCTTTATAGTTTAAAATATCTTTCTCATTTTAGGAGAAACCAAATACCCAACCATCAAAATTAAAAATAAACTGAATTGTCAGAGTCCATTACAGTTATTGTTACTAGATCCACTTCATTTGCAGGTGTCCAAAATATAAAACAAATAATTCTTTATCTTCAAATTCATCTGTTCTTAAAATGCTACTTAAAACTTTGGTGGTTTTCCTGTAACATAGAAGAAAAAGTTAATTTATCAATTAGCTCGAATGAATACAGTTTTTACTACTTAGTTTATCAAACCAAATACTGTGATCCTATTAAGTGTTTACAGATCTTAAGTGCATGTTACTATAGAAAGTATTAAAGTAACTGGAATTTGACAAAACAGTTCTCCTATGTTTAATAAAATGTGTAATTCATTTTTAAATATACTAGATTGTATTCCAAATCTGTTCTGTTTTTGTGGTACCTGGCTTGTTCAAAATAATGTGTATGTCAGACTTTTATTTACACAATAAAATATTAGAGATGAAATAAGTCTTCAAATGAAAAAGTGACCATATTTTATATAGCACTGAAGTTTAGATTTATTCATATACACTCCTAAGATCTTTTCTGAATATTTTTGTATGGTTGGAAAATCTGAACATCATTAAGGACATTTTCCATGATAAAATATTCCTGTGTGAAAGAAACTTGAATTTCTGCTTAAATTTGGAAAAACTGACCGGAGTTCAAGTTAGGGAGTTTAAGAGAAAAAAGGGCCTTGCATTTCAAAGGGCTAGAAACCCCAAGAATGGAAAGCACAAGAGGTATGTCTCACATTTGAGCCATTCTCAGCATTCTGTATTCTGAGTTCCTCTCAATTGAATACTTTTACCCATATAAAATAGTTTATGAAGACTCTAAAGTCAAATTCTAATCTAAATTTACTAAGTGCATAATGAGAGCTAAGTACAGTTCAAGCCCTTCTAGACATTATTTCACTTAATCCTAACAACTAGAGATCATCAACCTCATCTGTAATCATAAAACTGAACAGTATACTAGCACACAAGTCGAAGCGACAATTTAAACCCACACCCAATATCAAAACTCCTGGCTTTCCAATTAATATGCTAAAAGATACGTGTATTTATTGTATTTGTTCTGATGAAATTTAATGCAGTGACACAAATATAAAGCTCTATGACGAGCAAAAACACACGAATAAATGAGGTAATGTGTTTTACTGTATGAAAAGAATGAACTGAGAAAAGCACCCACAAGCAGACCATACATATATTGCCAGAAAGGGGGCAGAGGACTGTCCTTTCAGTAAATACCGCTGGGATGACTGGATATCCATGTAGAAAAGAAAACCTGACCCCTACACCTTACACCATAGAGTATAATCTACTGCCGATGGATCATAGAACTGAATTGAAAAACAGTAGAACTTTTAGACTCTTTATCTCTCAATGGAAGAAAATATTTCTTAAAATATACCTTCCTGTTTCTTGAGCAGAGTGGTAATTACTTAAAATAGTTGGTCATATTATATATTTAGATGTGTGTACTTTTCTGAATTATATTCCACAATAAAATTAAAAATTTAGTGAAAGAATCCAGTGAAAATACTAAAGATAAACATTTTAGAATGAAAACAATACAAAATTAGAGAACTGCTTACTGGTTTTTGAAGTACAATGGGATGATCGGGCAGGAAGTCTGGCTTTTTTCTGCAGATGGAAACACTTGAGAGCTTCAACAGGAAATCTCTGCTGTACTTAATTCTCTCTATAGATATTAAACATCAGATGTAATGTTATAAAATACTCTCCCAGAACACTTTTTGGCTCATGGTTTTCTGCATGTCCCTTACTAATCCATTATTTTATAAAATAATGAGTATTTTCTATACAAAAAAAAAAGAGAAGCAAGATATTTTGAAAAGTATCTACTGCCTTCACTTTTCCTTTTACATGGAAAGGAAGCCAAGTAACCAAGGAAAATTGGGAGAGAAACATTTCAGAAAATTGGTAAGGCATGGTCTCTTCCATCAGGCTATTCAGATCTAGTGAAGGGATCGTAAGCTTAACAGCAGTAATACCTGTTGGGTAACTCAGATCCTGCCAAAATAGGACCCTAAGAAGCCTGTCTAGTCTTCATGCTTAAAATGTAATACAATCAAAATAAGTTTAAGAAAATTTTGTTGTATATCTGCACATCAGAGATACGCTAAGTAATGGTGAAAAAGATCCAAGATAGGGTCCCTATCTTCAAATATCTGCATATTTCTCATCAGAAATGATCACCATAAAAGATCACCTGCTGAGCCAGAGACAGAAAAGCAGAATCTTTAAAGTGCTAATAGAAAAGAACTGACAACCTAGAATTCCATACTGTGAAACAAAATTTTCTGCTGGTCTCCATCCCTGGTTCCTTGCACAAAGCTCCTAAAAAAACCTTGTAATTTCATTAAGTGGTAAGAGTACTAGGAGCATCTTTTGTTCTAGGATTTGGTTTTTGACCCTACTTCCTGATACACAGCTCTTAAATCCCTTGAATTTTCCTGGGTGACAGAAATGTCCTTCTTTCTAATGAGATGAATTTCAGTGGGCTTCTGGACAGAGGATGGTCAAAAGAAAGATCAAGCCATGATTAGAAGCTTGAAGCTTACAGCCCCACTCTAGGAAGTACCTCCTCTAGGAAGTAGGTAGGGCTACAGATTTGAGTTAATGACTGATCATGCCACATGATGATGCCTCCATAAAAATCTCAAAAGTATGGGGTTTGGAAAGCTTCTGGGTTGGTTAACACATCCATGTACCAGGAGGGTGGTACTCCACAAGGATAGAAACTCCATACTTGGGACCCTTCTAGACCTTGCTCTATGTATCTCTCCATTTGTCTTCATCTGTATCCTTTATCATATCTTTCATTATATAATAAACTGGTGTTAGTTTACCCTAAGTTCTGTGAGCTGTTCAAGCAAATGATCAAATCCAAGAAGGCAGATTTAACCTAATATACAGCCAAGTTGGACAGAAATTTTGAGTAATCTAGGGACCTACTACATGCAACTGTCATCTGAAGTGGAGGTGAGTTGTGTGAGATTAAAATCATGTGAAGTTAAAAGATATTTTCAAAAATGAAAGAAAACAAAGAATTCGTAAGTAGTAGAGTTATAGCTGATCTACAAGGAATGCTAAAGGAAGTTTCTGAGGTTGAAAGGCAATGAAACTAGACAAACTTTAATATTCAGAAATGAAGAATAAAGGGTAAATAGCTGAATGAATATAATGGACTCCTTTTTTTTCCTTCTAAATTCTTTAAGTGTGTAAATGTTGAAATAATTATTAATGACACTCTCTGGTAGAGATGTGATTCATACAATAACAGCAAAAAGGACACTGCAATGGAATGGAGGGAAGAAGCCTACACATGGTTGCAAGGTTTTAGCATCACCATTTTGCATGAAGTAGTATAATATTAACAAGTACACTGATTTAGATATTATAATCCCAGACCAACAACATAAAAATACAATATAGCTAAAAATTCAACAGATATAATCAAATATCAACAAAAATTCAAAAATATCCAAAAGAAGGCAGAAAAAGGAAAAAAAATAGGACAAAATAAATGATAAAAGGCCTAAATCCAACTACATCACCTTAAATGTTAATGGTCTAAACCAGGGATCAACAAACTTTTTTCTATAAAAGGACTAATAGTAAATATATGAGAGTTTTGGGACATAAAGTCTCTATCACAACTACTCAGTCTTATAATGCAAAAGCAGCCACGGATAGTAAACCATGTGGCTGTGTTCCAATAAAATTAATTTCTGAAACAGGGATTTTAACTGAGGGACATAGTTAACTCTTAGGTTAAACACTGCAATTAAAGGCCATAGATAGACACAATGGATTAAAAAGAGAAAGTATTATTATATGCTGCCTGCAAGACATACACAGATAGATTGAAAGTAAATGGATATAAAATGATATACCAGTAGGAAAAGAAGGCAAGAGGGGCTATCTTAGTATCAGCTAAAGAGACCATTATTGATGGGTTGTGCCTAATGACAAAGATTCACAATACATAGAGGGAAAATGACAGAAATAAAATAGTTTCACAAAAAAATAGGTAATAGAAAACAATCCCCTTAGCACTTATAGAAAAGTGCTAGACAAAAAAACCAGACTAGACAAAAAAATCAGAAAATACTTAGATCTGCCCAATTATCAACCACCTTGATTTAACTAACAATTATAGAAACTACATCAACAACTGCAAAATAAATTATTTTGAAGTGGACATGGTATAGTCACCACAACAGACCATGTGCTGGACTATAAAACAAGTCTCAATAAATTTAAGGGGTTTGAAAAAAAAACACACAAACAACAAGGAGACATTACAAATAATATCAAACATACAAAATATCATGTACAAAGAGACTTCTATGAACAAATTATACATCAAACAAATATGACAACCAAATTTATCCAATTCTAGGATAAATACAGAAACTATCAAAACTGAGTAACAAGAGAAAATCTGAACAAATTATTAAGGAGATTTTATCAGTAATCAAAAATGTCCCAACAAACAAAAATCCAGGACCAGACAACTTCACAAATTCTACCAAACATTCAAAGAATTAATATCAATCCTTGTAAAACTCTTCCAAACTCTCCTAAACTCATGGGACCAGCCTTATCCTGATAGATCCTCTTCTCGAAGGAGGCCACCAAAAACTCAGACCTTGATAAATACAAATGCAAAAATCCTCAAGAAAATATTAGCAAAGAAAATTCAACAATACATTAAAAAGATCATAGTGGGTACAGAGGAAACATACCTCAACATAATAAAATACAAGTAAGATGAACTCACAGTTAAAAATCATACCCGATGTGAAAAGTTGAGTTTCTCTAAGGAAGTTTCTTTAAGATTAGGAACAAGACAAGGATGTCCACTCTTGTCACTTTTATTCAACATAGTACCGGAAGTCTTGGCCACAGCAATCAGACAAGAAATAAGAAATACAAAGCATTCAAATTGGTAAGAAAGATGTAAAACTGTCTATTTGCATATGACACAATACTATATATAGAAAACCCTAAAGACTCCACACAAAAAAATACTAGAATACGTGAATTTGGTAAGACGCAAAATACAATTAAAATAACAGAACTCTATTATGTTTCTATACACTAATTACAAGTTATCAGGAAGAGAAATTAAGGAAACAATCCCATTTATAGCTTCATTAGAAAAAACAAAATACCTAGGAAAAAATTTAGCCACGGAGGTAAAAACCAAAAACCCTATCTTTAAAAACTGTAACACACTGATGAAAGAAATTGGAGATGACACAAATAATGCCATGCTAATGGCCTGGAAGAACTGATACTATTAAAATGTTCATATTATCCAAAGGAATTTACAGATTCAATGCAATCGCTATTAAAATATTAATGGCATTTTTCACAACTAGAACAAAAAAAAATCCTAAAACGTGTGGAACCAAAAAAGACCATGAGCAGCCAAATCTATCTTGAGAAAGAACAAAACTGGAGGTATCACACTCCAATTTGAAACTATACTACAAAAAAAAAAAAAAAAGAAACTATACTACAAAGCTATAGTAATGAGAACATTATGGTACTAGCACCAAAAAAAAAAAAAAAAAACCCTACAGATCAAATGAAACAGAATAGGGAGGCCAGAAACAAACCCACATTTATATGGTCAATTAATCTATGATAAAGAGGCAAGAATACACTACAATGGGGAAAAGGAAGTCTCTTTAAGGGGTGCCTGGGTGGCTCAGTCAGTTAAGTGTCTGCCTTCAGCACAGATTATGATCCCAGAGTCCTGGGACTGAGCCTCATGTCAGGCTCCCTGCCCGGCTTGTGCTCTGGCCCCCTCTCTATCAAATAAATTAATAAAATCTCTTTTAAAAAAGTCTCTTTAATAAATGATGCTGGGAAAACTGGACAGCATATACAAAAGAGTGAAATGACTGTTTTCTTATACCACATACAAAAATAATTCAAAATGGATAAAAGAGCTACAAGTAAGACTTAAAATCATAAAACTCCTAAAATAAAATATAAAGTAGTAATCTCTTAGAACTCAGTCTTAGCAATATATATATATATATATATTGGATCTGTCTCATGAGGCAAGGGAAATAAAAGCAAAAATAAACCATTGGAACTACATCAAATTAGTTTTTGCAAGGCAAAAGAAACCAACAAAATGAAAAGACAACCTACCAAATAGGAGAAGATATTTGCAAATGATACATCTGATAAGGGGTTAATCTAAAATATACAAAGAACTCTACAACTCCACACCAAAAAAAAAAAAAAAATCCAATTAAAAGGGGCTGAGAATTGTGAAAATGTCAATGTTACCCAGGGCAATTTACACGTTTAATGCAATCCCTATCAAAATACCATGGACTTTCTTCAGAGACTTAGAACAAATTATTTTAAGATTTGTGTGGAATCAGAAAGACCCCAAACAGCCAGGGGAATTTTAAAAAAAAGAAAACCATATCTGGGGGCATCACAATGCCAGATTTCAGGTTGTACTACAAAGCTGTGTTCATCAAGACAGTGTGGTACTGGCACAAAAACAGACATATAGATCAATGGAACAGAACAGAGAACCCAGAAGTGGACCCTGAACTTTATGCTCAACTAATATACGATAAAGGAGGAAAGACGATCCACTGGAAGACAGTCTCTTCCATAAATGGTGCTGGGAAAATTGGA